AGTTGGTGAAGAAGAAGAAGAAGAAGAATAAGAAGACGACAAGAAATTGAGAGAAACGAGGCCAAGGGTTTTCAAATGTTGTATATACAAATTGGTAGATAGGAGAAACGTTAGGATTGAGAAAGAGAAAGCGAATGAGAGAAACAGCAAACCTACCTACCCTCCCTTCTTCTTCTTCTTCTTCTTCTTCTTCTTCTTCTTCGCAAGGGGTCAGGTAAACTTGGATCGCCCATTTCAAGTTTATTGCTAATTCATTCAAATTGTATTTGTTCCCAAATATACATTCTATTCTTTGTCGGTTTTCCTTCCTTCCTCTTTCACCCTCTTTCTCCTCTCTCTCTCTCTCTCTCTCTCTCTTTCTCTCTTCATTCCTTCTCTTCATTCGGAACGCTTTTACGTTGTTGTACGTGGCGCAACGCAAGCAAACTATGTCTTGTCCTTTAACAAATTGCTACTCCGATGCACGTTCTACTTTACTCGAGGAAAAACAAACGACGAGGGTTAGAAGGATGACAATGTCTACGGGACTACGACTACGACTATTTCTATCTATCTATCTATCTATCTCTCTCATTCTCTTTATCTTTTTCTTTCTCTCTTTGTCGTACCAAGGATGAAAGTTTAGCAAAATTCCGAGAAGTTACTAAGAGTAGACCCACCCCCTTTCTCATCCCCCGTCCACCGTTTCCATTTCAAACGCGTGCGAGGGTTAGTAAAGACGACACAACGAAGATGATTAAAGTACATACCAGGATTTCTACCGTAGAAACGTATTTAATTTGTTATACCTATTCATCTTTAGACGGATTGTTTATCAATAATTTAATCGTATCGACAAGAAGATTTATAAATTTGTTGTTAACAACTCGAACTTTTAAATATACGCGTTCATGAGAGAAAAAAAAAATATAAATAATCGTGAATTATATATCAGGTAAGAAAAATTCTCAACGAACGAATTTCTTTTCTTCGTGAAAGTGGCTGAACGATTACGATTAAGGTGCGAATGGAAATTCTCCAACGTGAAATTTATTACATCGAAAAAGGGCAAAGCCGAAAGTTTCAGGAGGGAAATGGGAAAAATCATGGCCACCAACGAAATGGGGGGATTAAGGTGGAAAAAGATCCAGCTTGGAATTTCCTTTTTTTTTCTTTCTCTTTTCCTCTCTCTCTTTTTTCTAACTTTTCTTCTTCTTTAGAGATAGGAAACAAATGTTTACAGGTATTATGTACATAGGTATTTACCGGTTATCGTATAACGAAAATACTACTACTTTTTTACATTACCGAAATATATTCTAATGCAAATGGATATAATTTATTCTAAACGCATTCGCAAATATTCTCATGGGTAAGAGAATAAGAAAAATAGAAAAATAGAAATATAAAATATACGTACGATATTGCTATTAACTTATCAATGTACACGAATGTTTTGTTCGCTTTATAAGATTCCTGAAATATATCTATTACAATAGACGATATTATTGGCAAGAGAAAGAAATAGAAAATAGAAGAAAAAAAAAAAAAAGAAAAAGAGAAAAAAGAGAAAGGGTAATTTCGCTTGGAAAAAGAAAAATCGAACTTTTGCGCGTATCGGAAAGAAAACGAAGTGCCATTTCGTCGTGGCATTGTGTTCGATGGCAGTTACCCACGAGAAAGAATACAAACGAGATTTTCCGAGCGGAAGAAAATGATCAAGTCGGAGCATTCTGTGCCGACAGGGGAATCGATGGAAAGTCATCCACGTTCAGTTAGCATAACAATGCCACCGACACGATTCTCTTTCTCTCTCTCTCTCCCCCTTCATTCCCTTCATTCCCTTCTTTCCCTCTTTATTTCTCTCATTCTCTTTCCAAGTTTGCTGTCTAAGTCGTACGATCCTTACAGAATATATCTGGGCACGTTATCGAATCAATCTGATTCACGAAACCCCCGTGACAATTGATATTTTATTACAGTACCTACAGACCAAGACCATTCTCGCGAGTTTATCTAAAGAATATCCATAAAAACGTTCCTACGGATATATTGTAAATAAATAAATGGATATTTTTATAACTGTTCATAGTAAAAAATTCATTTGTTGAATTATTTCAAATTTTAATCGAATTTTTCTCCAAAGTATTATATTGTAAAGTATTTTTTGTTGGGTGTGGTGCATTTAATTGTTTTTATTTATAATTAAAATAAATATATCGATATCAATGGTTTGGATTTATTATTATTCAAAGGATAAACATTTTTTTTTTTCATAACGATTACTTTTTGTTTCGTGTAATTAACCGATTAATGATCGAAACTGATAAAGACGTTTTCATCTACGATAAGATTACAGCCTCGAGTTTTTCCGAATGTTGAGAGAAAGTAGTAGTATGTAGTAACAAGATGATGGCAGTGGTATTGAATAAATATATAAAACTAAAGAGATAGAAAGAAAAATGTGGATATAGAGGATAAGAAAAAGAATATAAAAAAAGGGACAAAAAAAAAAAAAAAGAAAAAGAAAAGATTGTTGGCGGCTTTGGATGGGAATGAAATAAGAATAAGAATAAGAGGAAAGTATATGGAGAAGTAAGCAATAGAGAGAAAAGGAAAAGAAGAAGAAAGAAAAATAAGAAAAGGAGAAGAAGAGAAGTAAAAGAAAAGTTGGGAATAGGAAAATGCGGAGGAAAGATGCAAAGTGTTCCGCGCACTCTTACGGATTTATGGATTTCATTATTGTCGAGCGTGGTTGGTTACGCCGGCTGACTAGGGACACTCCGAAGGATGAGGAGAAAGGGTGGGGAAAGGGTAGGTGGTAGGTGGATAGGTAGGACCACGAGAAAGAGAGAGACAGAGAAAGACAAGGCCTGTCTAAACTTAAACTTGCTGCCCGTTTGCATTTTATGAACAGCCAAGCCAGTTTCTGTTTTCTCTTTCCCACTCTCTGACTCACTTTCTCGAAAGAGAGTAAAGATAGAGGGAAAAGAGAAAGAGAAAGAGAGTAGGAATACTAGCGGTTCCCGAACCGAAAAGCCCATACATTCGTTTTCACCCCATGCCAACAAGCGCACCCACCCTTTCGCGTATTTTCCAACGAGCACCTATCTAACCACCAACCACCACCACCACCACCACCACCGACGTAGTCCCACACCTTTCTCACCAAAAGGGAAAACCATCTCGGTCAAACCACCATTATAAAGCCAGCCGTGTAAGCCGAATTACTTCCCCTTTTCCTCTTATCCCCCTCCCCCTACCTCTTCTCTCTCTTTCGTTCCTCCTACTCTTCCTATTTCTCCACCTTCGAGATATTCACCCTCTTCGTAGGAATACTCAACGGCAAATGTTAAGAGAACGATACTACTAGACTCCGATCTTAAAACGACTCTGTTGTGTTGTGTTGCTCCACACTACTAACGTTCATTCTATCTCGGCACGATCTTTGGCGATGCCGAGTGCGAAGGGGGATTCAAACGTTTGAATCCACCCACCCCCATCCCTCCCCTATCGCTCTTGGATCTTGCTTACGTTTAATCGTCGACTACCCTGTGCACCCGTTAAAGCTACGTCGTCGTCGTAGTCGTCTATAGGATTTTGCGAGGAAACGGCACGTAGTTTACGTTAAGACCGTCGAATCCAACTTAGATCGCATCTTCTTGTTTCTAAATGAAACCGCTTTTCAACTTCCAATTTTCGTTTAACAACTTCACACTTTTAATTAAAAAAAAAAGAAAAATAAAGAAAAGAAAAGAAACAAAAACAGGAGTAAAAAACATTTGATTGTTTCTTCTTACGTGTGCACGAACATCTTCCTTTCTCCAAAGGATGAAAGTTTTTCAATTCTTTTTTCATTTCATTTGCGCCTAATTAATTAATATTTAGAAATACATATATATATTTTTTAGTAATAAGATATTTAATCTAAAAATGTTTAAACAAATTTGATATATCGTTGAATAAAGTAACAATTCTAAAATTATTGTTACAACTTTAATATCAACGACAAAGAAGATTTTCTTTAACAGAATTTAGCATTATTATCATCATCATCATCATCATCATCATCAAGAATTATTCGAAACATATCGTGATAATTTAATTCAATTGTCGACAGGAGAGACGAAACGTAGTCGATCGCACACGTCTGCACGTAGTGTGAAAAGGGGGGAATGGGTGAGAGGGTGAGGGAGGACAGAGTGAGTTTCTTAATCCGATAGTCTACTCGGAGACAATAATGTCGCGAGGATTGAACGGGTATAGGTGAAAGGAGGAGAAAGAGAGAATATGCGAACGAGGATGAGAATGAAGATGGGGGTGGGATTTGGAGGAAGGTGAGGTAAGGTAGAGTGCACTGTTCAATAATTCAGAAGCAATAGCGGTACCTCCGTCTATTTCTCTCGACTCCTCTATATATTCGTATCATTCTGTGTACCTCTCGATCTTCTTGTTTTCTCTCTCTCTCTCTCTCTTTCTCTCTATATATATATCTTTCTTTGTTTCACTATCTGTCCTTATTATTCTACTCGTCTGTTTCTCTCTTACTCCCTTAGGTACCTATTCTTGATTCTTGCATCCAACTAACAATAAATACATGCGTACATAAACAATCAATGATATATAGATACCGTGTATATTTGCAAATGATCTAATAGAAATTTTCGTAATAATATATTAGAAAAAAGAAAAAAAAAAAAAAAAAAAAAAAAAAAAAAAAAAAGTTAAAAAAATCGTATGGAAATTCGATCATCATCGATAATATAAAATTGAGACTCTACTTGACTTTTCTACCTTCCTTCCTTCCTACCACTAGACCAGCCCNAACAATAAATACATGCGTACATAAACAATCAATGATATATAGATACCGTGTATATTTGCAAATGATCTAATAGAAATTTTCGTAATAATATATTAAAAAAAAAAAAAAAAAAAAAAAAAAAAAAACAAATAAAAAGAAGTTAAGAAAATCGTATGGAAATTCGATCATCATCGATAATATAAAATTGAGACTCTACTTGACTTTTCTACCTTCCTTCCTTCCTACCACTAGACCAGCCCGTCTCGTTTTAAAAAAATCTCACAAGCCATTAGAGTCGATAAAATCCAACCTTAACTCTCCTAACAAAAAAGGAAAGAAAAGAAAAGAAAAGAAAAGAAAAGTAGAACTTACGAATCTATTTCTAGACATCATTAATAACGTTAGCGAGATCCTCGAAAGTGTGTTAAGTATCCATCATTCTAATCAGCGATTACGATCATCACCAGCACCATCATCATCATCATCATCATCATTAGACAGGAAACGTTACCACCACTTTCGTTGTTTTGGTTATCGCGAAGAAACACGCATGACACTTTTTAGTTTCTTTTTTCTTTTTTTTTCGTGTTCTCCTTGGGAAGATTAATTTAAAAATTTAATGGTTTAAACCTGGTACGACGAGGAGCACCATACCGCGTACGTAATCTTTATGTAAATGTATTGATACGTGGTGGTATATACGCATAAGGAATGAATTATATTATAATATACGCGTATCTCGCGTATATGCTTGTACACGATAGGATAATATGACTTGATATCGATACTAAACCACGCAGGAGAAAACTCGCATTCGTATCTGTCACTTTGCCGAGTGTAACTGGTGTATAGGTTCGCATCTAACATAAGAGGTGGTATCCGAAGACATTTCTCACGCGAATAAGTGCTACCCATATCTTTCCTACCTTCGTGAACACCCATCGCTCGTCATCCCGTAAACCGCGACTGTCAAATCCATGGTAGATCGCTTACCTGAAATAAAAGGAAAATAATATACCGTTAGATACAACTATAAAGGAGATACGATTTATTACATATTTTATAATAGAATATATATGAAATATATATAATAATACAATTGTGTTATTTTTAGCTTTTAAATTTTGATTTAACCACACGCGCGCACAACTGACGCATTTATAGACTTTTTATTTTAATTTTTAATTTGTTGAAAAATTATAATACCGGTTAGATACGATTTCCTATTTATTACATAGTAGAATATAAAACGTAGGAAATATATTAAATTACAGATTGTTGTTTTTTTTTCTTTTCTTTTTTTTTTTTCATTTAAAATCAGTTTTATACTCTTACAACGTACAAAATTATGGATTTTTTTATTTTCCGTTTGTTTATTTCAGAGCGAGTTAAATTTTCTTTTTCTTTTTTTTACATTTCATCTCCTCTCTCTTTTCATATATACGAGTCTTTTTCATTTAATATTTGACGATCTATCCAAAAGAGAGATTTTCGTTTGTGGTAAAGCCAACGGCTGAAAAGTTAAACCGGCAAAATCTATATTTCTACGTGCCACACATAAATAAGAAAGTTGTGAAAGTTAAAAACTAAGAAAATACGCGAGACAGAGAGAGATGGAGAGAGAAAACCCAGAAGAGGAGGGGAGGAGGTTGTGGTGGTGGAATACAGGCGTGACTACGAATTTATCGCTACCACCCCCTGTAGCCCCCCAACCTTTTGCGAAGGTTGCTTGAAGGTTCGAAGAATAAGTTCGTTTTCTTTTACCACCTATTTCTCTTTCTCCTTCCCTCTCCCTCTCTCTCTCTCTCTCTCTCTTTATCTCTCTTTTCTCCAGCCGTGTTTTTGTTTATTACCACCCCAGTTTAAGACTAGGAAAGGTAACATCGGATCATAAGGTAAAAGGGCACGTAAATTCCTCGGATTCGATAACTCTCAGTGTGTTCGGACTTTTCACCCAAAGAGAGAGAAATAGAAAGAGAGAGAGAGAGAGAGAGAACTCGGGGAGGATATTAACGTAAATTTTCTCACGAACTGGAAAAACTAAACTCGTAAAAACCCGAATCGAAAGTAATCGTGCGAGAGTATAGATTGTCCTGCGAGTTTTAACTCTACGTATGTGTAGTAAGTATATATCAGTTTATGTGTATATGTGTGTGTGTGTGTATAAAAGGTAAGGCGCCAAGAAACGACGAAGGTGGACCGAAAGAATTGGTAATGGATGATAGGAGTAAAAGACTCCAGACTCTGGACTCCAATGGAAGTAAGCTGGACGTGGAAAAGGTGAAAGAATCTTCAATAGTGAAAGAAAAAGGAAAAATGTAGAAAGTAAGTAGTAGTGGCACGTAGAAGAAAGAAAGTGATAGAAAAGAAACTATATATATATATATATATATAGTATTTTTCTTTTTACTTCTATTAGATGCCAGTCCATATTATGATCGAACGCTTGAGAAAACTGAGATACTACCGGCATTGCCCAAAACGTGAAAGAAAAATAGCAATATGAATAAATAACCGATTCGTTCGATGCAACGTACGAATTTACTAGACGTACATAAAATTCTCTCTTCGTATTTTTGTTCTTTCTCTCTCTCTCTCCTTCTGTTTTATTTTTTGACTTTTTCACGATTGCTATTAACCAGACATGGAAAAAGTTTGACGATTTGTAGATTTATTTGGATATAGATAGTTATTTCTATTTCACATTTCTTTTTTTTTTTTTTTTTTTTTTTTTTTTNCCAGACATGGAAAAAGTTTGACGATTTGTAGATTTATTTGGATATAGATAGTTATTTCTATTTCACATTTCTTTTTTTTTTTTTTTTTTTTTTTTCTTTTTTTTTTTTCGATTTCTTTTCTTTTCTCTTTTTTTATTTTTTATTTTGGTAAACCAATACCATCGCCCTATTGATTATTAACTGAAACTTCGAACTTTTCAAAACGATTTGCGTCGAATGTTTCATAAAACGTTTTATAGTTGTTGAAAGTGCATCAAATGATAGGCGTTTTCGCAAACAGTTTACCAAAGCAAACCACATTCGTGACTCGCTTGCACTTCGTCGATATGCAGAAATTGTTGCGAAAGGTGGAAATCGATAATTCGTCGGGCGCGATAGAGAAAAAGAGTGAGAAAGAGAGAGAAAGATTGATACATATATATATATATATAGATACGCGCATACACGCACACGCACACACATATATATATATAGAAAGAGAGAAACATTGAGTATCGATGAACGAATCAATTCCAATCGATCGAACGTATACCTATATGTATATATAGATATATGTAGAAGTAAAATCGTTGCTGGAATAGATACAGATATATATTTTCCATTATAAACTCAAATATTTGGTAATGAATATATCCACCTGGTAGTGGGAGAGGGCGGGGGGAGGGGAGGGGGGGGATGATGGTGGTAGAGGAGAATCGGTGGGCAGAATCGAAACACACAGAGAGAATAGGGCAAGTAAGCTTTAATACTACTGATTGGAAATCTCGATTGTGAATAGCCGGTACCAGCCGATTGATGATATCTCTCTCCACAAAACTATCTTCCCGCTCCAACGAACGGTGGTAGTACACTCGGCCGAAAATTAGCTGGAGAAACTCATCACGAGATTGCCGAGGTGAAACCGAGAGATCGCGCTCATTTAATCTTTCCCCTTCCCCTCCTTTCCGACCACCCCCACCCCCCACCCCCCTCCTATCCGGTCACCGCGAGATTCTCTTCCAAAAATCGTGACCAGTTTCGTTTTCCGAGAGAAATCCAAATTTTCCTCTTTTCTCTTGTTTTTTTTTTTTTTTTTTTTTATTATTTACTCGCGAATCATCATCGTCGTCTTCTTTCTTTCTTTTTTTTTTTTCTTTTCTTTTTTTTCATTTGGCGGATTCGTTTCGAATTCTCTTAAGTTCGTTAGACGATTCTATTTCCATTTCTCGTTTACTACGCGGGACAAATTCTTTTTAGAAATATTGCAAAAAAAAAATATTCTCCTAGCATAATCGTATTTCCACTTTCGTCGATAGATATCGTGCGCCATGTTTTGCCTCTCGTCAATTTACTAAAAAGCTCTCTCTCTCTCTCTCTCTCTGAACGTTTACGTGAAACGTAGACAACACACGCAGAGATACGCGTTACGTGTAGTATATAATATAACTATCATGTAGCTTTTTTAAGGTATGCTTCGAAATTCATTGATGATACACTCTCTCTCGAGTAGAAGAAGAAGAAGAAGAAGAAGAAAAAGTAGGAAAAAGTAAGAAAAAGAAAAAGAAGATCCAGAAAAAAAAAGAAGGGAAAAAATACTAACTTTTTGACCTTTTCACAAAACCGATTCGTTTATCGTTTATCCAATAAAAAGTACTTCGCCGAGTTGACATTGACTCCTATCTATCACAAGTTATTTCAAATATAAGTTTGAATCTATCATCCTTAAATATATATACAGAATATCCCTAAAAATATCATGGGCCAATTCTCGTAACAAACAACGCTAAACATATCGTTTAGAAATTCAAAAGAAAATATTTAAAAATTGTAATATTTTTAATTATATAAATATAATTATATTATTTNATAATTATATTATTTTATCAATAATGTAATTTTGAAACAAAACAAATATTCCGTATATAATATTAATTAATAATACACAAGTTAAAAAAAAAGAAGAAAAAAAAAAAAATGGGGGTATTCGCATAAAGTATACAATTATACAAATACGTGTTTTTTTCATGACCTACTTACGAAAAGAAGTTTAATCTACAGAAGTAAAGTCCGCTGTTTTGAAAGCAACGCGATAATCGTTCTTTTTTTCCTTTTTTGTTTATTTTGCTTTCTTTATATTTATTTCCTCCTTTTTTCTTCTCTCCCTCTCTCTCTCTCTCTTCCTATTTTCTCTTAGTAAGCTCATTCCTTTCATTAGGTAAGGTATACACATTAACGTTTCTTTTAATATTTCGTTATGCAGTTATATCGGATGCAACCGAAGCGAAACTAAGACCGAGACCAATAACCAGTGATTCTCGGTGTATCGAATGTCTAATTAGCGTTCAATCCCCGCTCTGGTATTTCCTCCTACCAGATACCACGCATACCTCTGCGTGCTTAATTAATTACATTTCCTTACATAGATGAAGACGATGTTAATGAGAAATATAGGTAAATACATTTAAATAATTATATTATATTATACAATTAAATGTGTGTGTGTGTGTGTGATAAATCATTTTATCGTTAATAATTAACTGTTAGAAAAAATCGTGGAAACAAAAATTGTATCTCACTTATTTCATTGAAAACAAATTAAATAGATTTAAAGAAAGACACGTGTGATCGAGATAAAGAGAATGATTAATAAAGAAATCAAATTTCATGCGTGTCTTCTATACGTCTTATTATTCTCTTGTCGAGCCATTAATGTTCCAAACAGTCGGAGCATGATCTTTGAACTCGTGATAGTTGCTCACTTAATTTTCTCGATCGAGAACAAAGATCGAATAATCTTTCTTTCTTTCTCTCTCCCTCCCTCGCCCCCTCTCTTTCTTTCTCTTTCTCTTTAATGTACGTTTGATCTCGTGACATCTTGCGAGTTCGAGTTAGCAAGCACGACAAATTATTCGAATACCTTTCTACGAAAAATTTGGATGAAATTAAAACAAATATTTAGATATATTTAAACACGATAACGTGAACTATGTTTTTGCTTATCGTTCCCTCCTCCCCCCCCCTCCCCTCTTCTTACTCTCCTTCATTCTTACTCTCTTCTTATTCTTATTCTTCTTCAGCATATACGCTTAATCAAGGTAGAAAAATACCAACGTTTTGCATGTTACAAATGTAACTCACTAGTCTCTCTTTTTCTTTCTTTCTTTCTTTCTTTCATTTCGTTACTTTACTTTGCGTTACTTTGACTTGGACGGATAAGTTTTTTCTACGTCGCATTGGAAAAACCTTGAAATAAAATCACGCGAAGCACAGGTCTCT